GCAGCGCCAGCGAGCTGCGGCGCGACTCGCTCACCAGCCCGGAGGACGAGCTGGGGGCGGAGGTGGGCGACGAGGCGGGCGACAAGAAGAGCCCGTGGCAGCGGCGGGAGGAGAGGCCGCTTATGGTGTTCAACGTCAAGTAGCGCCCCCGGCCGGCCTGGCACCGCCTCCGCCCGGGCTCGCCCCCAGGGTGCGCGCCCCCAGGGCCTGCAGCGGCGCTCGCTCTTAGCCGGGAAAGGTGCCAGGAGCCTGCGGAGCTGCTCCGTGGTACGTGCTGGGTAATGTCTGGGGAAGGGACCCTGTGTCTGCCTCCAAGCCGAGGGAGGTGGGCGGGGGCCAGCCCCCATTGGGAGGTGCCGGGGAGGAGGGCTGGGAGGGGGAAGCAGTGCCTGCATAACTGGCTGTACATAGAAAGCTCTATGGTGGGAAAGCTGGAGGGGCCACCCAGCCTCAGCTGCTAGTGTGAGGGCTGGGAGGGGAGGGGGTGCTGCTTGCTGACTAGCCCACCTCTGGGCTAGATGTCAGGGGCTGGTCGCTGGGGACTAGGGAGTAATGTGATGGGGCCGCTGTGAGAACAGCAAATATAAAACTGGTGAGGTGAATGTGGCGTGTGTCTTTTTGTGGGGTAGGGGGAATGCTGGCACCGGATGGGGACTTTGCTCAGGGGTTCCCTGGGGAGGGTAGGCAGGGCGGCCAAATCAGACACTGTTAGGAAAGTGTACAAACTTTATTGGAGCACACACATACATACACAACACATACACACATACACACACACACAAAGCCCCTGTGGATAGGCTGTTAGGAAAGTGTACAAACTTTATTGGAGCACACACATACATACACAACACATACACACACACACACACACACACAAAGCCCCTGTGGATAGCGGAGAGCACCTGACCACAGGGTCCACAGAAATTGGGGGAGGGGATGGTAGCACATACGTGGCTTTTGCCACAGCCCCCCTTCTGATAGGGAAGTCCCTAGATTGAGACCCCACATCCCATGACTATGGGAAGCACTCAGACTAGGGAGGGGTCAGGGAGAATTTGATGGGGGAGAGGTGCTGGGAGGCCTGAGCAGTGGGCACCCTCTGAGCAGAGTCCCGAGGTCCAAGGAGTGTCTTCAGTCCTCAGTCTCTCCTCACAGCAGCTGTCTCGGGGCTGGGTGCCTCAAAGGGGTGTCCCAGCGCAGTCTGATAGGGAAGTCCCTAGATTGAGACCCCACATCCCATGACTATGGGAAGCACTCAGACTGGGGAGGGGTCAGGGAGAATTTGATGGGGGAGAGGTGCTGGGAGGCCTGAGCAGTGGGCACCCTCTGAGCAGAGTCCCGAGGGCCAAGGAGTGTCTTCAGTCCTCAGTCTCTCCTCACAGCAGCTGTCTCGGGGCTGGGTGCCTCAAAGGGGTGTCCCAGCGCAGGGTCTCCTTGCGGAAACACTTGGTGCCCTTGGCCCCACAGCGGAAGCCACTGGGACAGCAGTGACGCTGATCAGCACAACAGACACCCTAGATGGTCAGAGGGGGGTGAGAGAGTTGAACAAGGCAGGACCTGGCCTTGCCCATACCCAGCCTCAGGACAGGAGCGTGGCTCTGACCTGGCGGTAGGGACAGCAGGCCCAGCCTCCTCGGCTGTCTTGGCAACAGGTCTGGTTATCGTGGCAGTAGTGCCCTGCCCCACACTCCACATCCCTCACACCCATGTGAGGGCCATGAGCCAGGTGGGCAGCAGGATGGGCAGAGTCCACTTCCTTCTCACAGGACTGGGCCTTCACATTGCAGGTGTACCCAGCCGGGCAGCAATGCTGGCGATCCTCACAGCACACAGCCTGACCGGGGCGGGATGGCATTATACTCCTGTACACAACATCCCCTGAACCCCCCCCACTGGACTTAGCTCCCCTATACAGGGACAGGCAGAAGGGCACTCACGTGGGGCAACTGGCAGCAGGCCCAGCCCCTTCTCAGGCTCGGGCAGCAGGTCTGCCCCACTGGGCAGCTGGTGTGCTGATCACAGCCACTGTCTCTGGGGTAGGACAGGGAAGCCCCGCGGGCAGGAGTCTTTTCTAGTCCAGCCACTATCTTGTTCCCCCTCTGACACTGCCCCTCCACCGTGCACCTGTAGCCCTGGGGGCAGCAGTGCTGGTGGTCCGAGCAGCAGACAGCCTGGGGGGTGGGCAGAAAGGGTGGTCTAGGGAGCTACTCCATGGGGCACAGTGCTTAGCCCCTGTCTAAGGCAGCCCCTAGCCTGCCTCTCCTCTTCCAGCTAGGGATAAATCGGATAGAGCTGGCTGCCACCGTGGCTAGGCAGAGTGCAGAAGCGCAAAGCATCGGGAGTCTGGGCCACCCTCCTGCCCAGGCCAAGACACTGTACCCCGCAGTCCTGTCCCCTTTCCCATGTACCTCTGGGATAGGACAGCAGCCCCACTCCCCAGACATAAGTTGACAGCAGGTGTGGGAGGGGGGACAGCTGGTGTAGTTATCACAGGGGACATTTTTCTCCATGGCTTGTGCATCCGGAAAACTAAGGTGGGCTGGGACCTTCTCCATCCAGGGCACCTGGGTGGTCCCCTGTTCACAGGTACTCTTCTCCGTGTCACACCTGTACCCCGCCGGGCAACAGTGTATGTAGTCCTCACAGCACACAGCCTATGGTGGATGGAGAAGGGCCAGTGGGCACAACGGCCTAGCTGGCTGCCACCCTCTGCTCAGCCCAGCCCACCCACCTCTCCTGGGTACCTGGGTAAAAGGGCAGCAGCCCCAGGCTCCCGACTGGAGGCGGCAGCAAGTGTAGCCATCTGGGCAGCTCACTTCTGAGTCACACTTCACATCCTTCACTGTGAGGCAGGCAAAGAGGACAGGTCAGCAGTGGGACTGGGGACCCTCAGGGGTGCCCACCCTTGTGGGCTCCACACCTGGAACCAGATGTTGAGGGTGGAGGGTACTCATCCTTCTGCCACCCTGCAATGATCCTAAGGCAAGGCCCAGTGTGGAAGAAAGGGCTGCATCTGCCTGGCCTCTCCATGTGGCTATCAGCACCCCACCCCATATCTGTTCCTGGAACAGCTTGGTGTGAGCCCCCGCTTGTGGTAGGGGGAGAATGGAGAGTGTGGCCTGCCTCTGGTACCTGTGTGTGCAGGCAGCTTGGTGAGGAGGTCCGTAGCATTCTCCTTGGAGAGGCACTTACTCTGGATCAGGTCACACACGGTGTCCTGGGGGCAGCAGTGCAGGTGGTCGGAACAGCAGATGGCCTAGGTGGGGACCCGGGGGGGTGGGTCTTTGTGACTTCCAGTCTCAGTTGAGCACAGGGAATAGCCAGGCTGATGGCTGGCACTGCCCCAATCCCCCACTAGGGGGTGGCACAAGTCCTGAGTCAGCCAGGCTCCCAGCAACCAACCAGCCAGCACCATCCTCTAGAGCCCCTACAAAGTATGTGTCCTGACCAGAAGGCTGTGGGCACACAGCCAAGCTGGCCACAGCCCCTCACTCACATTGGGCATTGGGCAGCATCCATACTTCCCACTGGGCAGCTCGCAGCAGGTGGAACCATCAGAGCAGAGAGACCGCCCATCAGGGCACACCACCGAGGTGGGCAAAGCCACTGGAAGAGAAGCAAGGCATTGCAGGTATAGCCAAGGCGGAGGGAGACTTACTCCCCTCTGGGAATCAGATGAGACCTCAACCCAATCCCCAGCCTGATGCTCTCCCACCTCCTCACCTGCCCTATTAGTTCTTTGTGCAGGGATCTTCTTGGCCAGGGGATGGGAACCCGTGGATGTGAGGCAGCGGGTATGAGCCAGGTCACAGGTGGCACCATGTGGACAGCAGTGCACCCTGTCTTCACAGCAAGAAGCCTGAGAAGAGATGGTCCTAACTCCATCTTTGCCTCCCACCCCCACGCCTAGCTGTGTCCCTGCCACCCTCCATCTAGCCCCAACACCCCAAACCTGTACCTCGGGCAAAGGGCAGCATCCCCAGGAGCCATCTAGCATAATGCAACACGTAGAGGAGTTGGGGCATTCGAACTGGTTACCAGGGCACATGACAGCACCCAACAGGTTGTTATCTGTGGACAGAATAATCCAGAATTCCACTAACCCAGTCAGTGAAAGTCATTCCCCCCTCACTCAAGGCCCAGCTCCAGGGGACTTGGGGATTGGCACTAGGGCTCGATGACCTCCCAGGCACCCCTAACCCACTCTCCCCACAATCCAGTCCCGCCTTAGCAAGATGACATGGGGCAGGGAATTCATTAACAGAATGTTGGCATTAAACCAGACTAGCTTGGCCTATCCCCCTCCCCGCAATGCCTGGACCTGGGCCTGGAGTCCTGCATTCCCTCCTGCTCCCTCCTATCCCCAGTGCTGCCCCTCTGTCCAGAGCAGGGGGTTGCTCAGTTCAGATGCCACATGAATGAGGAACAAGGGCAGGAATCAGGGCTGCCTAGCTGGCTGGGCTTCTGGCTGCTCCAGGCTTCACAGGTTGCCCGTCACCTGCCCTCCACCTGCGCCCCTGCTGCACCTGAACCTTGGAAGCAGGATCGGCCATCGGCAGTACAGTGGAAGCCCCGTGGGCAGCAGTGGTGGCCATCCGCACACGCCACAGCCTGCGGGACAGAGAGGCCTATATTGGAGAGGTGCTTTTACCTGGGGGGTGGGAGAGTGCAGGCAAAGAGTACATGCAGATCTAAGCCCTTCCATCAAGCTCCTGGCACCCTCACCTTTGGGAATGGGCAGCAACTGGAAGTCCCTGAGACAGTGAGGAGGCAGGAGTAGCCAGCAGAACAGTGGGCATCAATCTGGCAGGGTCTGCCCAGACGCCTGGTCAGTGTTGTGGGCCATTTTTCCTGGGAAGAGAGGAGAGAGGATAAACCAAAAGACCTGTGCCTGGTTTCCTCTTCTGGCCAATCCAAGATGACCCACTGGGGAAACCCAGGCTGCCAGCTCTTGCCTGGGTTGAAGGGCACTCACCGGAATGGGACTGCAGCAGCTGTAGCTGCCTCCTCCTGGGTCCAGGCAGCAGGCCTCGGGGCAGAGCTGACCATCAGGGCAGTGTGTGCCAGCCACCAGCCCTGCCACAAAGGCCATGCAGCTTAGCAGGGTCCACATGGTTCACCTGCAAAATACCAAGGAGTGTTTGGTACCCAGCTTAAGTCCATGCCACCCTCAATTCTGAGGCCACTCCTTCACCCAGCCCTAGGCCAAGGTCCAGGCCTGGGATTACCTGAGTCTCCCCCACAACTCCCTGTTCAGGAAGGCAGAAAAATGTGGAGCTTGAGTCAGCTTCCTCCATGTGTCCTCTGTGTGTGTGTGTCACACATGCACCAACATGGGCACACCCATAAGCATGAATGCTGACATGAATATATGCGTGGATCTGTGTCCGCAGCACATGGCCTAACACCTGAGTCTCTGTGCATGAGAGTCTAGGTATAGGTTTATAAGAATTAGGAAGACGTGGTTTTTGTGAGTCTGACCTGTGGGGATGTGGGTCACCTCCAGGGACCGGTGGGAGATATCAGTAGCCATGGGAGAGGACAGGGCTGGGATGCATGGAGGGAGTCCTTCCACGAAAAGCCAAGGTTCCCGTTCTGCAGCCAGCCCCTCCAGATGCCCCCTCGCCTGACACCGTGGCGCTCAGTCCTGCACTCTACTAAGGCCTTGGGGGCATGGGAGCAGTCACATGATGACATAGGAAACCACAAGGTTGAGAAAGTTGTGAAAAAGGAAACACAGTGGCCAGTAGAATCTGAGCTGCCTTTCCCCGAAGCCAGTCACCACCTGCTCAAGATTGTCCCATCCTCACCCAGGGAAGGGGACACAAAGGCTGGGTCAGCCTTTGAGATACCTGTGTTGGACTGGCCCAGATGTATTCTGAGGGTCCTCCAACACCACCAGGGCCCTTTCAGATTTCCCAAACATATCACCCCTGCCTCTCCCCCTACCCTGGAAGCGAAACTCAGCCACATATAGAGAGAGACCACGTGTGCCCACTGGGCTGCCCATCTGAGTCAGCAGGAGGAAACGAGCCTCTCACTTCCTAAACAACTCTTCCCCCAAGCTCAGTTTGCCAAGCTAGCTCAACTGAGGGGGCCCCAAGAGATGTCACCCTGCCTAGAGCAGCAAAACCAGTAATGTCTGTGAGCCTCTTAGGAGCCAGTTACAATACTCTTCATTATTTTATTTCTTTGCAGCCACCATCCAAAGTAGCAATTATTACCTTTACTTTCCAAACGAAGAAATTGAAGCTCAGAGATGTTAAGTACAGTTGGTCTTCTGTGGTCCTGAATCCACAGATTCAACTAAGAGCAAGTCAAAAATATTTGGGAAAGGACTGGCCCGTGGCTCACTCTGGAGAGCGTGGTGCTGACAACACCAAGTCAAGGGTTAAGATCCCCTTACTTGTCTTAAATATATATATATATATATATA